CTGTTGCTGTGAATTAAGATGAAGCCAGGAGGAGAACCAGGGACAGCCGAAGGCAACCTGGATGTCCCCTGCAGCATCGACTCCCCCATCCAGTATTGCATCCCGGTCTGAGCTTTCCAACTTTGTCCACATGCTGTGCACCAAAGTAGTTCATTGATAACACAGTCATTAGCATCACAGATAAAACGACACTGCTGCTGTGCTAATTACCGCGGTGCAGATGTACCGTCGGATTTTGATACCATACATAATGTTGTCAAGCCTTTATTTTTAAATTAAAGTGCAACAAACCATACCCTGGCTACGCATCTTTTTTTGATTAGTACAAATTAATGTTATTTCAACGTCCTGGAAAGGATGGGGGAAAGCGGGTGTTGTATAGAAAGGTAAGAACAAGTAGACAAAGGTAGAAGTTACTGAATCCTACAGCCTCCTCCTCCTCTGCCTCCTCCTCCTCCTCCTCCTCCTCCTCCCACTCAGATCTCTGCATGGTGGAAGGTGAGCTCTCCTGAGGGCAGGGACCACAGAGAAAGTTGTTTGGTGCTTACAAACAACCTCTTAAGTCCAAAAAGTGGAGATGAGAAAGACAATCAAAAAGGCTCCTGCCACGATAGCGGAGCACCCATGCAATAAGCCAAAAGAAAGGGCAGGCAGGAATGAGAATATTGGACAACCGAATATATTATTTACTTAGTACTTACCACAGCCTCACAAGGGACATGCGCCTATATTTACCGAAGTAAAATGCAGGTAGTATCATTTTACCATCCTGACCATTTTTTAATTCAGTAGTATTTAGTGCATTCCTCTTGGTGTATAACCTTCACCCTTACCCATCTGCAGAACTCATCTTGCAAAACTGTAACTCTATAAATGCTAAATTCCTGATTTCCCTGGTCCACCCTCAGCCCCTGCAGTCACTGTTCTTTCTGTCGCTATAATTTTGTCTGCTCTAGATACCTCGTATACAGTGGTGCCGTGGTTGGTGAATTTAATTCATTCTACGATTCTGGAAAGGACAGCCACATTCACGTCCGTGCAGGAAAGACAGCCTCGGTCCTTGTCCTCACCTAGTGCAGAGTTCACAATCAAAACCAAATATTTTTGCTAAATGCTCATTTACAAACCAAACAAAAGGGCTTGTGAACCGAGGTACCACTGTCAATGGAATTCGCTCACACTCCCATACTGATAAGGAGGGACTTTTGTCATTCTGATATTTGCTTTCAGAATGTCTTGTAGCTTTGGGCGCCCTTCATTTTCATGGAGGAAATTGTGTCATCTCAATTTTATTTTACGCTTAGAGAAGAGAAAATGTCAAGAAATCAAGTAAGCCGCCCGAGCTCACATAGCTACAAAGAGGCCACACAGGAAGCTTTTGCTTCTAGGCCCCTTGATTCTTCCACCTGATATTTATCTGTGTTTCTAACTCCTGGGAAGACTCAGACAGGCATGCTGCATGCTCCTGCCTTGCTTGAGTAGGTAACAATTTTCTTAGGAACATTAGACAGGCGCAGATGAGTGAATGGATTTCCAGGGTGCGAGGACACCCACAGTACTTGCCCAAGGCTGTAAGAACTCAGAGCAACTCCGCGTAAGCTGCTCTGCGAACTATAAATATCTGTGGGCGTGGTTGGATTGAATCTTATGGCTCTGTATTTAATCTCATTTGAAGATAATTACAGAGATACAGCCCGCTCTGTGGGATCTACTCCTCATAGAAAATGGATGTGGAGAAACATAGTAAATGCTATTAATAATGTGTATATAATTAGATCCAGAATTTGCCTAATGAAATATCCCTAGATGAGTAAAATCTCTTATTCATAAGATAGTTGTTGCAGTATGTTTTACAGCAGGTAAAAGCAATGTAATAATGCAATGATAAGCTATATATAGATATTTTTTGCACTCAAACCCTTATATTTTATTTAAGATCTTCAAAATGTAAAATGTAACAATGGTATACAATTATTTACTCAGTTTCTTTTCAATTAAGCTATATATTTTTACAATGAAATACTATGCAGCCATTTCAAAATGATAATGCAGGATATTTAATGGCCTAGAAATATTGATATGAGAAGTCATATATATAGTATATGTAATCATGTGTTATATATTTAAGCAGATAGATAAGATTAGCTCATAAAATATAGACGTATATATAGTTATGAGTGTGGAGAACATACATGCCGGTGTATTGGTGGTGCTTATTGGTTCATCCTGGAATTGTGGCCGATCCTCCTTGTTGAGCTGTTTTGTATCTCCTAAACCGTATGTACTGCTTGTACAGTATCCTAATCACTAGGAATTGTTGATATCGTGGTCCATTTGCCTTAGTTTTCTTTCTAATTTTGATTTTTATTCGTACATGCTTGCAATACATAATTATTGCATAATTATTATTGTGGGGAGTCAGTGCCTGTGTATAGCCCATCTTAATTATCTTCCCACCCTTCCCCCCTTCCTCTCCCACCATTTCTTAGTTGCCTTTCCGTTAGCAAAAGAAAAATCTAAATCATATTTAAAGATGAAAACATCAAACAGGGGCTGGAGAGATGGCTCAGTGGTCTAAAGCACCTACTTAGAACAAGCTTAGCATAAGCATCAGGGACCGCGGTTCAATCCCCCAGCACCACATGCCAGCCAGCCCTGC